TGCAATTCATTCTTGGAAATTTCTTTCGGTGAAATATACACGCTCTCCATTTTCTAAGTGCACAGCAAGGTGAGTAACTGTTGGGTGCCTTTCGTGTAAAGGGAAGCCAAGGAGACGCCACGCCGCCTCGTTACTGCTGACATAACGCCCTGCTTGAAAGGTCTGTACTTCATTAACGGGATTTGCCTCACCTTCACTCCTGAGATTAAATATTGCTTCGTCGCTTCCTTTATCTATGTATTTACAGATATACTTGATTGGGCGGACAGAGCTACATGCTTCTACATTAATGTGGGCATTAAACATTTTACATAGAGTGGGCGAATACGGGACAATCCAGCTGTTATCTAAGGTTTCGAACGCTCCAGAGCGAGATTTGATTGTAACTTTCCTGCCACCATCTTCGGGAGCTCTGCGTCTGTATAAAGGGTAGCCATTGTCATTGTGCACTGTTTATTTTAATAGCTGTTTAGGGAATTTTTTGTACATTTTCCTTCTTTCATACATGGCGATATTGAATTTAGTGCTCCACATGGACCGTGAATCATATTTCGGACGATGGTATAATACAATTCTTTATCTTGCTCAGGATCTGGAATCTCGGCGCTTATTATATCGTCTATTTGGCTGGGTCGCAACTTCTCTTTAAGCCATATTAGAATGTAGGAATGCGGTAATCCTCTTTTTTTGCTATTCAGTTGAATACATGAAGCACTACATCTTCGAAAATTTTCCCTTTGTTAATTAAATTCATCAATTTTTGTACTTTTAATCTAAATACTCTAGTAACTAAATCGTGTCTGTCAGTACTTTTTTGGCCCGGCATTAGCTCCTCGGTTATTTCTTTTCATGTGGGATTGCAAGTAAAAGTAACAAAAAGATCAGGTCTTCCGTAAGTTCGTACATAGGCGAATGCGTCTTGTGTGTACTCATGTAGGTAGCGGGGACTGTTAACGAATGATGAGGGCAGAATTACCATTTTACCTAAATCTCTGGGGTTTACATTGGCGTCGCTAGAAACTGCATCTTGTAAATGTATTTAATTCTCAACGCGCATTTTTTTTATTTAAAGATATATAATGGAGACGTTCACTTTCTACCTTCACATACATGTCTACAAAAAATTGATGAAATAATTGTCTACACCGGGCTAAAGGGATACGCATAAAAATCCATACATTATACTTTTTTGTTTGGAGTAGGCTCCTTTTTGACCGGGTTAATGAGTGGAATTTGAAAATGATAACCCTCTTGTCCTTTGCAATAAATCAATGGGTATTGCAGAGCGTCATAAAACTTCTGTGTATCGGCTACCCGTTGCAACGTATCATCACGTGCTCGCAAGACAATGTCTCGTGAAGAAAATCGATCACCACTAATTACGGCTGCTATTTCGTTTATCAAAGGTGCATTGTAGCGCCTTTCATGCTCTCCTCGAGGGGTCCGATCTGCGTGAATGACGACTTTATAATCCTCTTTAGGTAGGTTTTCTAAAGCAGTTTTAAATGTTTTGACTAAAATGTTACGTTCATGCAAGAATCTTTGAATTTTGAACACTGTGTCTCTCTCAACTCCCTGGATAAATTGGCAGCGATGGTCTACCTCAATTTCTTTGTCACACGTAAAATATACTTGTAAAAATTTATGCTGTTCGTTTTCAGCTGGAAAAAGTGAACCTATTCTATGATAAATTTGCCCTTGCACCGTAAATGTAGGTGGAAATCCCGGCATTATTATTTCCTAGTCAACTCCGAAGGACGTCATTTGAAAGCATGAGTTATATTTCCGGATCCTGTTTAAAAAGCGCAGTGACTCATTAACATCATATAAAAAGAGAGTTTTCAAAGGTTCTTCTGGTTCCCCAAGTAACGGAAAAGACACTTTGCCATTAGAACAGCACATGTCTGCGGTCTCATCTTTCCATTTTAAAGCGCTGCAAAATCGACACGCCTTTTCCATCAGTCCGATAACAACTAACCTGTGATTTTTATAATCAATCAACGGATCATAATTGAATGCTGCGTCATTAAAAACAGACCAATTGTTTCTTTGAAAATTTTGTCGACGTTCAGCTTGGAGCTGTGCATTTGCATCTCTTCGCGCCTGTGTCTGTTCTGATGTTTTAGATGCCCTTATAGTAGATTGACGTTGAGCTTGCTCAATGAGACTGTGTTGAGTTTCATCAGGTGTTTCTGCGGCTCTTAAGGCGGCCTGACGTTCCGCTTGTTCGAATAGCCTTTGCTGACTTTGAGCAGGTGTTTCAGTAGCTCTTAAAGTAGATTGACGCTCTGCCTGTTCAAGACGCCTTTGCTGACTTTGATTAGGTGTTTCAGTAGTTCTTAAAGTAGCTTGACGCTCTGCCTGTTCAAGACGCCTTTGCTGACTTTGAGCAGGTGTTTCAGTAGCTTTTAAAGTAACTTGACGCTCTGTTTGTTCTTGCCTTCTCAGTTCAGCATCTTCTAAAGATTCTAGCGATCGAGCTAATCTTTTCGCTTGTCTTTGAGAAGATGCTCTTGAAAGGATGGACTTACGTTTTCGAGGCATTATGAAGTAACAAAAAACCTATTTATAATGAAACGTTAAAATACCTAAAAGGAATTAACTTTCCTTTTAAATATTTTTTTAAAGCAAATCCAAAATATATAAAAGGAATAAATATTCCTTTTAAATATTTTTTAAAATCAAAACAACAAAACCAATTAAAGACAACACGAATCCCAAAACAATAGCCAAAAAAATCGAATCAACTTAAACCAAATCACAAAACAAATCGCAGAAAACCGAAATCGAAAGCAGTAGTCAATATAAATATAACCAACGAAAAAAGAAGTGTATAGGTAACGTATACACTATCTATACTATTAATATTCCTTTGAAATATTGTTAAACAATCTAAAACAACGAAAACCAATTCACGATTCTAAATAAACAAAATCCAAAATCAAAGCCAGAGTCTATGTATGTATAAAGGAATACCAACCAAATCAACAAAACCGATCCAAGAAAATACGCAAATCCGAAAACGAAAGCCAATATATATCCATTCAACCTTAACTATATCACAAAGCAAATAACAAACAACCGAAATCGAAAGCAGGTAGTCGAATAAGCTACGAAATAGAAACAATTTAAGCGTATAGGTACCGTATGCACTATAAGTTGACGCGCGGCTCAACAGCGGGAGTTAAGTACATGTCAGGAAACATTTCGTTAACGCGTTTTAAAACCTAGTAACGACATCTAGCGGAATCAATTTAAACTATGTATACGTTAGTTAATAAGAACTCTCAAAAATATTTATTTTTTATAATTTTGCACAATTTTTCTTATTGTAATACCGATTCATTCATAACCACATATAAGAACTGTATTCATTTCCAATGCGGGAAATAGTGTAAATGGGGCCCAGCACTCTATTGTGAAGAGTCAAAATGTGTCAAAAAAGGCACATAGGTCCCTACTTTAACGTATGGTAGTGAAAGTTGGGTGTGGCAGAAGAAGCACGAGAGTAAAATGAACGCAGTAGAAATGCGGTCGTTAAGGAGTATGTTAGGGCTGAATCTGAATGACAGGGTAAGAAATTGTGTAATAAGAGAAGAGTGTGGTTTGCAAGATGATGTTGTGACCAGGATTAAGAAAGGAATGCTTCGGTGGTTTGGTCATGTGGAAAGAATGAATGTGGAAAGAGTGACAAAGAAAATTTATGTAGCAGAAGTGAATGGTAGAGTTGGAAAGGGACGTCCTAGGTGAAAATTTATCGACCAAATTGATGATTTATTGAAAACGGGCCAAATTAGGAGTACCCTTTACCGACGAGCATGTATGCGTAGGTGTATGGATGTGAAGGAGGCGAGAGAGGTGTGTCAGGTTCGTGCCAAATGGAAGTCTGTAGTCTCTTCCTACCCCTCTGGGTGACAGGCATGAGTGTTTATGTAATGTTTTATGTTATTCATTACCATTCAATAATGCAGATTTGTATGCAGGATGAGAAAAAATATAAATACTTACGCAATTTCATTTATTTTGTTAGTGTAGGTACTTAGTTTTAGATAGGCATTAGATTTTAGTTTTCATTTCATTTTTATTTAATATCAATAATTTGTGATGGTGTTTGCTTATTTAGGGCAATCTCTTGTTTTTCGTATAGGAACCATGTATTGGCTAGACAAATTCGGGAGCATATTAAGGATTACGTTATTGCGGTAATTTTGTTGTTTACTTACAAAATAAAATAGAAAGAAAGAAAGAAAAGAAAGAAAAAGCATTTATTCACGGTCTAATCACAGTAGATACAAAACAAACCAAGAAATTGGAATTAAACAAAAAAATAAAACAATATTTCCCTAAATTAACAAAAATGTAAAAATAATATAAAATGAGTCTGTGTAGCAGCATAAGACCGTGAAATGGACAGGACTCAGTAAAAATCGAGATACAGAAACACGAATTGCTCTGATCCCGACACTGGTTTTCAGTCCAGCCCGCACTCCGACGTAACTCGGACGGCTGCCTCAATGCACATGCTATAATGCGACGCGGAATATATAAAAAAAATATATGTTTTTAAATACAAGCTTACAGTTTGCAATATTCGTTTTTTGGGTATTTGTTCGTTCGTTTGTTTGTGTGATTGACCGACTAACTGAATGTTTCTATTCAGATTAGTTGTTTCTAAGTCTTCGCGGCAGTTTAATTTACAAATAAATCATCATAACTTAGAGTAGCAAAATTACTGATTCCACGCGATCGAAGTCGCGAGCACAGCTAGTCTGTAATAAGAAACTGTCACGAAAATATTTGGCAGATCAACATTTGTAAATATATTTTTAACTTATAAGTATGTACATAATGTAAATTAATGATAATTAGTGTTATAAGACTGGCTGCGTAAATACTTAAGCGGGCGGCGGCATCGCCTGACGTCAAAGGCGTTTCACAAGGTAAGGCCTTTAAGCTGTGATGCAACTGATGGTAATAACTGGTCATAACATAATATTTACCGATATAAAGCGACACACCAGGGACATACAGTAACTTCTTCCGGGTAGACTCTAACACATCCTGTTGAAAGAAAAGGAATGAAAATTTTACTTACATTACACGGAATATAATATACATATATTATAACATTTTACACTAAACTTATTTTACACTAAAAAATGAATTTCATTACTTAGTTCGTATTTAAATTGAACATAAAATACATACTTTTTTAAATACGACATTTTTTAATTATATTTCATATATAACTAATAGTCCAGGAGGAATCGGCGCCGGGGCACCGAAAACTATTCCAACCTTAATTTTTAAGCGATTCTCTTAAAATTGTCCTAGTGATAATACAAATGCATGTTGCCATAGGCAACCCGGTGCCACATTGTTAAAATCGATTTTTTTCAAATAAAATACGGTTAAAAAATTATTATGACTTTTTACGATAAAGTTAATATTTTAGTAGTCATGAATTTTTTTTTAGTAGTCATGAAGTTTTAAAATCCCAAATTGAGATAGGTACCTTAGAAATTTAAAGAATAAAATATGAAAAATATATTTATAATATTCTTTGATTGGATACAAATAAAAAGGTCCTATGACTTACAATGAAGTTAATATTTTCGGAGTCATTAATTTTTAAATGTTTTAATATTCTTTGGACAATAGTAACACATACGACAACAATATCCTTAAACGAGAATAAAAAGAAAAAAAACTTTTTAAACAAGTTTTAATATATTTATAATGAGTCATAAATATCTCAATTTGGGTTTGACTTTTCACATTTAATTTTAAACATTTAAAAATTCATAACTCCGAAATTATTAACTTAATCGTAAAAAGTCACGGAGCCTTTTTTAATTGTATTTTTTATTTCAAATAATATAAAATATTCTAGTTTGAAAATAACAATTCCTTCTAATTGATTAAAACAGTATGGCACCGAGTTGCTCCATGGCAACACGCATTCATATCATCAGTAGGACAATTTGAAGAGAATCACATAAAAAGATTGAGGTGGAATAGTTGTCGGTACTCATGCGCCGCTTCCTCCTGAACTATAATTATAAAATAATGGAATTCTAAACACTAAAAATCTTGTTTCAAAGTTTGCCTTTCTTGGTTGGAATTTTCACCACTACACATATAATATGAGTAGATCTGCAGCTTTCTTTTAGGCTAGTCTTAAATACAATATGATATTCATTTGAACAATATTTTAATCATTTCAATGCAATCCATCACCCATCATGTGGAACGCCCACAATATGAGACAAATGTGGGAAACACCAGAAACATCTCACGGCCACAGAAAGATACGGTGGTGCGAACATCTCGTTGTCACCAGATGTAGAGAACACAGACAGGCGACGGGCAGTAGCGGCAGGGATGCGACACATGTAGCGCTACCATCGTCCGTTCAACGCAAGTGTTAAGTTAAACGCAATGTCTTCTTAGAAAAGGAGAGGAGATATATCCAACATTGTTTTGGGGCTGCTGAAGAAAAAGAATAGAATTTTAATCTATTTTTTACCTGGAGTATCAGGTAGAGTTTTCTGTGGTGGCGCGGTGTCGTTCGTGCAACACCACATCCACTTAGGACAATCTCTGAGGAGAACAAAAAAGTTATGTAACGTCTTGTTTCACAAAATGTGATGACACTTGATGTCATCACATTTTGTGAAACATACCGAATATAAAACAAGATGTGAACACACCACATTCCCCCACACACACGCACACACACACGCGCGAACGCACACGTGCACACGCGCACAAGCGCTCAGGCACACGTGCACACGCGCACACGCGCTCACGCACACACACACACACACACACACACACACACACACACACACACACACACACACACACACACACTCCACACACAAACACACACACACACACACACACACACACACACACACAGACACACATAGACACACACAGACACACACAGACACACATAGACACAGAACACACACACACACACACACACACACACACACACACACACACACACACACACACGCACAGCGATACGAATTGATGTAATAATAATAATAATAAATAAAAAATAATTACCGTTTAACACTGCCGTCCCTGCAACAATTAATAATAGTAATTGTTATTTAATTTCATATTTAACAGTATGGTGGCGATATAATAGAATCCATCTCACGTATGTGTTACATGAGGCGACTATGAGCTTGGGACCTCTATAATGGTTATGATAAAATAAAAATTCTTAAGCAACATCTTATCAGCAAACAAACAGATCGGCGTCCTCTCAAAATGATTGATGGTCCAATGATATCGAAGTCGACGGCTACAGAAGGCTCAAAACCATACATTGTGGCAGTCTTTTGAGATAGCTTGTGTTCTGCCACAAACTTACGGATGGCAGGCAATGATAACGATTATAATAATGTTCTTCGGACTGAATTTCAGTCCCAGCAGCCGGTCTCACGGAGACAAACCATTTGTGTAGGACAGGATTATAGTGCCCAAGTTTATACGCAAGCACAGGTGCACTCTCTGTACTCTTACTCTTATAGTCTGATTGTACTATAATCCGACAGGACTGGAGAGAGATCAGGCCCAGGACCTACCTGTGCCCTATGCCTAAGCACAGAGTCGAAACGCCGCCAACTTCCTGACTTCGAGTTCATTTCATCATCATTACAGCTTTTCACAAGTCCACTGAAGAACATAGGCCTCCCACGAGGAATGCCACAAAGCACGGCCCTAAGCCACCTGCATCCATCGACTTCCTGCATGTCTTTCCATGTCGTCACTCCATCTAGTGGGGGGATGCCCTCTCCTTCACCTGCCATTCGAGAACTTTTTTCCCCAACGGTTGTCGGTTCTTCGAGCTATATGGCTGGCCCTTTGCCACTTCAGCTTACTAATCCGTTGAACTATGTCGGTCACTCTGGTTCTACCGTGGATATCCTCACTTTCAAGTTTATCACGCAGGGAAACTCCGAGTATAGCCCTCTCCATAGGTCGCTTAACGACCTTGAGCTTCCTCATGTGGCCAGCATAAGGATTACGTCTCAGACCCATAGGTCATCACAAGATCAAAACATATTTTATTTATCCTGGTCACATATATATAATGTTATTTAAAAAGGGTAAATTAATTAATTATAAATAGGTTAACTTATACTAAGAGGGGGATGCGGCGGTACTTTGATTGAAAGCGCTAAACTCAAAAATCCCTGGCGGATTTTATTAAATTTTATTATGTATAATTGACAAATTCTTCATTTTTATCTTCTTCGTTTGTAAAAGTCACTTGGGCCTCTTCGGTTTAAGGCATGATGTTCGTCAATTGTTAGCGTACGGACGACTGTAGCCCAGCCGCCTTGCGCACGCCTCGCGACTGGTCTGCAGTCGCCGTAATGCAATCATGGTATCACAATAGAGAACTGTACGTAGTGCGGTGGTACCTGAGATTGTACGTCAGAATGACGCCACCAGTGGCTAGCGTGTAGTTTTCGTAACAGAGATGTGGGGGGACGCACATGCCTTCACGGTCATCTTCTCTTATGCATCTTTCGTAAAGTCCGTCTGAAAAAATGGAAAGTAATTTTTTTAACCATTGCTTCGGAAAATACGTGTGTCTTGGGAAGAACCAGCAAGAAGCAGGAAACCCAGCGGGATTATTTTTATAGGTTTATATAATTTTACAATAACTTAATGATTTTTTATATTTATGCGAACACTACTTATAACCACGTCTCGGATGCTGTAAAGTACCCGAGACGTGGGGGTGGGGGGTGGGAAACAATTCTTTAGCTTTTCTACATGTGTTAGTAATTCGGAATCCTGATAACAGCTTGAGCTATACTGTGTATAGGAAAAAGATCCATACAGATAGATATTTAAACGGAGATTCTCACCAGCATCCTTCAAAGTTAGCTACCGTGGGTAAATTTTTGTTTCAGAAAGCACGAGGGATCTGTAACGGTAAACACCTGGCTGCCGTACTTCAACACGTCAAGCAAGTTTTGCAAGAAAACAAGCTTCGGGTCCCGCACCTACGTCACAGTGAACAAGTGAAGCCGGCCACAGTCGAGCGTGTACCTGCTGTACTGTAATATGTCAGAGGTGCCACTGACAAGATTGGCTTCATCTTGAAGCGTGCTTCTATTAAAACATACTTCAAGCCGCCGAAGAAGATTGATCAGTTTTTACCATCAATCAAGTGTAATGTCCCTCTACAAGATGCAGGGTTGTACAAGCTTGATTGTGAATGTGGTCTCTCCTACGTAGGACAAACTAAAAGATCAATCAAAACTCGCGTTAAAGAACATAAAGCTGATGTGAAGAATCGACGCTCTGGGAAGTCTGCAGTCCGTGAACACATCAGATTTGATAGACAACAAATCCTTGCTAAAGAACACCGATTCCTTCCAAGGATGATTCGCGAGGATCCCAATTCCAATAGAGAAGATGGTTGGGTGCTACCATCTGCTTGGGATCCTATAATAAATAAAATTAATTCCCAAACCAAGCATACAACTGCAAGACTTTAAGATACCATAAGTTCATACTGTGTAGATCGGAACAAAAGTTAAACTTTAATCTATGGTAACCACGGTTAACTATAACATCTGGACGTTTAATATCTCAGTTTCACCATGACCATGGGTCGAAACGTCGGGTATTTTAAAAGTTAAATATAAGTGAAAAATCCGTAAAACTAGTATTATTTAAATGTGTAGTGTTCGCGTAAATATAAGAAATCATTATGTATAACGTAATTTAGGATCGCGATATTCTACACATTTAATACTATAAATACATTCGTATCGCCTTACTAAATCGACGCGTACAAAATGCGTAAATTATAGGAACACACTGGTCGTACGGGTGGGATTGCATACGAACATCTCCTATACCTAGGTATAGCCCCTTGTCTGTCCAAACACCATATTCTGGCGTCTCAAATAATATGAACATCTGTCAAACGCCATAATATGGCGTCGAGTGATAGCAAACTATTTGTAACATATATATGATATATATAACATACATATATTAACATATATATCTGTTATGCATAATCTGATAGCTTATTTAATAACGTTTCCATTGATATATGATTTTAATATACTTACTTAGTATATATATATAAAGATAAAGATATTTTATTTTGCAAATATGGGTACAGTACATGGAAATATAGGTAGTGAGTTCAGCCATATTTTACCAGTAGGCATGCAAAATATACAGAAATATAAACTAATCACCTAAACAGCTATAACAAAATAAAATAATAGCACAAAAACAAACATAATTTAAATTTTTTAACATTATACAGTCTTAATCTCAAAATGAAAAATTTTTTTCAGTCAAATATTCTGTTACGCTATAGTATGCTTTGACTGTCAAGAAGCTACGAAGCCTTTTTTTAAATATCGATAGCGGCAATTCTTTCCAACTTTTTGGTATTTTATCATATATGACTGGAGCCATGCAGTATATACTTTTGCGCATTAGTGCTGTCTTAGCGGATTGATGACATAAAAGGGTATTGTCGCGTCTATTACGTGGAACTACTTGGTCAAGGCGTTTAAAACGTTTCGGATGCAATTTAACAAACACTGCTACTTCTAGTATGTATAAACAAGGCAATGTCAGTATTTTATACTGTTTAAAATATGGCATGCAACTATCGGTAATTTTGAGCTTAAACATCGCCCTTATGCATCTTTTTTGAGCCTTAAACGCTGATTCTTTTTCGGTTGAGTTACCCCAAAATATTATTCCATATCGGAGGTGGGATTCTGCTAAGCCGTAGTAAGCAGTGAGGAGTGCATCCGTGTATACTATTGAAGACAAATTATGTAAAGCATATGCGGTTTTACTAATTTTTTTACATAAAGTATTAATGTGTGCTTTCCAGTTAAGATGTTTATCTATTTCGAGACCCAGGAACTTTGCAGTTTCAACTTCTTTTACAACATCATTATTGTAGTGTACATTTAGGCTCATGCTAGGAATCCGTTGACTGAAATGGAAATATATTTTATATATATATATATATATATATATATATATATATATATATATATATATATATATATATATATATATATATATATACTTGTTATATACTTACTTAGTACTTCGGAAAGTGCTCGATAGATGCACCATATTGGCCAAAATGACCCCGACATTCGAGTGGATAGGAGATGTTCGTATGCAATGCAAAACTTAGTTTTCAACTGAAAACTAAGTTGTACGACCAGTGCTTGTTGCTAGTGATGACCTACGGAACCGAGACGTGGTCCTTCACTGCTGGCCGTATGAGGACGCTCAAAGTCGCTCAGCGAACTATGGAGAAGGCTATGCTCGGAGTTTCTCTGCGTGATAGACTTAGAAATGAGGATATCCGCAGTAGAACCAGAGTGACTGACATAGCCCAACGGATTAGTAAGCAGAAGTGGCAATGGGCCGGCCATATAGCTCGAAGAACCGACAACCGTTGGGGAAAAAAGGTTCTCGAGTGGCAGCCTCGTACCGGTAGGCGAAGTGTAGGGCGACCCCCCACTAGATGGAGTGACGACCTGGTAAGGCATGCAGGAAGTTCATGGATTCAGGTGGCTCAGGACCGTGCTTTGTGGCATACCTTGGGGGAGGCCTATGTTCAGCAGTGTACTTGTGAAGGGCTGTAATGATAATGATGATCTCCTATACCTTCCCACACCGAGCTAGACATTGCAGATCGACGTTGCGTCGAACGCGTGTGATTGCGTTGCGTGCGATAAGTATGATTCTAATGTATAGGTATTTCATACAAAATCAAACGTTCAGATGTCATAATGCGTTGCATAGTGCGCGTTAAAAAAAGCTGACAGTCGCAGGACTGCACGTCAGAAGTGAAAATTTCTTAGGTTCACAAACTTGAAAACATTAATTTTGGGTTGTTAAGTAATATTATTGTAAGAATTATTTTTTATTCGGTATTATTTTCATCAATGTATTAATAAAATAATAAAATATTTAATTGTTGCGCTGTTTTACATGAAAAAAATTGACTATTATCTATACAATACAAATAAAGGACAATGGCAAAAATGGATCTACATATTTTAAAATTAACGATGCATCGTGCCCGTGCAGGCTTAAATCAATTATAATTATAAGTTTATACAATGTTTATATAAAAAAAAAACATTAAGGCGCTGGAATACGTGAATGAAAAGAAAGAAATTATTATAACTTATTAAAAAATAGGTTGTCTCGAGAACAGAACGTTTATCCCTAGTAAACGTAGTGATGAATAATTAAATATTCTTTTTCGTCAGACATTTTTTGGTACGAGTATAGCCTTTGGCTTTATTTTTTATTGTTATTGCTTTCACCCTTTCATCGTTGTTATTTGTTTATTTTCGAAGTAAAAGTACTTATCTTTTCTTTAATAATATAAATTGTTCCGCAATCGGTCAGCCTTTCACATCTTTCTTCTCATCATCATCATCATTATCATTACAGCCCTTCACAAGTTCACTGCTGAACATAGCCCTCCCCCAAGGTGTGCCACAAAGCAATGTCCTGAGCCACCTGCATCCATCGACTTCCTGCATGTCTTACCAGGTCGTCACTCCATCTAGTGGGGGGTCGCCCTACACTTCGCCTACCAGTACGAGGCTGCCACTCGAGAACCTTTTTTCCCCAACGGTTGTCGGTTATTCGAGTTATATGACCGGCCCATTGCCACTTCAGCTTACTAATCCGTTGGGCTATGTCGGTCACTCTGGTTCTACTGCGGATATCCTCACTCCTAAGTTTATCACGCAGAGAAACCTCGAGCATAGCCCTCTCCATAGCTCGTTGGGCGACTTTGACTGTCCTCATACGGCCAGCAGTGAAGGACTATGTCTCAGTTCCATAGCTCATCACTGACATCACGCACAGGTTGTAAAATTTAGTTTTCAGGTTTTGAGGTACTCCTGACGAGAAGATGTGGCGTAATTTCCCAAACGCTGTCCGTCCGTCAGTGGAGTCCGTCGATTGACCTCTCGGTGGAAGTTGGACTATTTGTCCCAGGTACTCGTCAACAACTTCGAGGTTAGCGCTATACAACACACACTACATACAACTACCAACATAGGAGTGCATGTGCATTCTGCCATAATGCTATATCGTCGGCAAATCGAAGGTGAGTGATGTACTTGCCATTGATATTAATACCGTATTCTTTCAAGTACAGTTGCTTGAAAACGTCTTCCAATGCAGCGGTGAAGAGTTTCGGGGATATAACGTCATCCTGTCTTACATCTCTCTGCAGTTGAATAGGTTTCATACTCTGGCTCCGTATTAGGATAGCCATCGTAGCCCTACTGTACAAACACTTCATCACTTCGATATACCGACAGTCCATATTGCACTGCTAAAGGGACTGTAGCACCGCCCAAATTTCAACGGAATCAAAGGCTTTCTCATAGTCCACATACGCCAGGCAAAGTGGCAGATTGTACTCTTCAGTCTTCTTCTTCAATCTTCAATCTGCCGCAGGGTATGTATGTGGTCTATGATACTGAAGCCTTTTCGGAAACCGGCTTGTTCGGGAGGCTGGAAGTCGTCGAGTCTGCGTGCGAGACGATTCGTAATGACTCTCGAAAACAGCACGTAGACGCGGCTCAGAAGGGAAATCGGCCTGTAGTTCTTCAAGAGAGCGTTGTCGCCTTTCTTAAAGAACAAGACCACCGCACTTCTGCTCCACGCCTCCGGAGTAGTGCCACCATGGAGGACGGAATTGAAGAGCTTCTGAAGAACTTCAAGTACCGGTGTTCCACCCGCTTTCAGAAGCTCCGCTGTAATTCCATCCTCACCTGGGGCCCTGCCGTTTTTAAGATGCTGAAGGGCTATTCTAATCTCGCTCTGACTCAGACGTCCGGGATATCATCGGAATAGTGTCGGATAAGACTTGCTCTTGGATCGCTACTCACACATGCGTGTGACTCCGTCGATGACGTGTACAGCTGACCATAGAACCTCCCAATTTCACTCAAAATCGCAGGTGTCCCAAAAACGATGCTGCCACACTAGGGCTTCAGCTTCGACAGTTGGCTCTTTCTGACAGACGGATCCCTGGCCAAGACTTTGGAGCCTTGGTTCCGCTCAATCGCTTCTTCAATACGTGGAATTTCGTAGGTCCCGTCGCGTGCATTTAGAGATCTATCTGTTCAGTTGCCTGTATGCTGCAGAACCTGCTGAAGACTTTAACTTTATCTCCCGTCTAACAGCAATGAGATTAAGAGTGTGTGATCGGAGAGTTTTGTGTTCTCCTGTGGCGGGTCTTGCAGAACTTTGCTCCGACCGCATGGACAGTTTCTACGAGCTGGTCATTCATATCGTCCACTGCAATGCAATCTTCTAGGCACTGAAAATGGTTTCGTAACTCGAGCTGAAAGGTTTCGGGACTTTGGATTAGAGCACGAGGAGGACAGAACGTTGACTTCAGACGTTTAGACGAGACCTCTCTAACTTAACGTTTAGGTTCAGTGTGCCTCTAACCATTTGGTGATCGCTGCCAATTTTCACCCTCGCTCGCACTGAACAGGTGACGTCTGGTAGTCATAATGCAGTCAATCTCATTTTTTGTTGAGCGAACGTTGGGGCTCGACCAGGTCCACTTCCTGTGGGGCCGCTTCTGGAAGAAAGAGTTCATCATTTTGTGTATCTCTTTCACCATGAAGTTGCCCAGCTGCTGGCTCCTTGGGTTCCGTTGCCCTATTCCAAATTCCCCTAACTTCAGCTCACCGCTTTCTCTTGTGCCTAGTTTTGCGTTGAAGTATTCAATTAACATCGTATAGTGGGTTTTGGAGGAATGTATGGCTCTAGAGATATCCTGATATATTTCCCCCACCTCCTCATCAGGATTTGCGGAGGTTGGTGCGTAAACCTGTATGACCTTCAGCGAATAACGTTTGGTGATTCTAAGTATGAAGTACGCGACCCTCGTCGACACACTCTCAATCTTTACAACGTTGTTGACGAGAGACTTGTGAACGATAAATCCGACACCTCCTTGGAACCGATGGTCGCCCTCCCGGTAATAGAAAAAGTTGCCAGATTCGAGGATTACCGTGTCCTCCCCCCTCTTCGGACCTCGGTTAATCCTATAATAAGCCAGCGCAACTTCTCTACCTCTTCTTCCAACTCCAGTATCTTCTCGTCAGTCCTCAGGGTGCGGGCGTTATATGTTGCCAGGTCGTGTCGTGTTGTGTGGTCGAGGTGTCGAGTAGTCGTAGGTGGCAACCGAACCTACCCACCCCCCCCGGTTCCATGTCGTATAGTCAGTAGGGGCCGCCGGGGACTGGGGGCCGTTTGTTTGTGTCGTTCCTCATGGGGGGATGTTTGCCATAGTTGCCACGCTTGGCGAGCGGGTTGGCAACCGCAGTTTTTTTGTTGTGTAGTTGTTGTTATTAGGAAGATGCTGCTGTCCTCGCTCTGTCGCCTCTTACGACACCCACGGGAAGATATGGGGTAGTGGATATTCTCAGCCGCCATTAAACGGCAAATATCTTTCTTCTAGCGTGTAGTGATTTGGTAAAGACAACATAAATTATCATGTGTAAGATTTAAACGCGAATTAACAAAATGCCACTGTAATAATTGACTATGGAATATATTTTAGAACTTCAATGTATCTGGCTAGACAGATAAAGTAACAAAAAATCTATATATATATATATATATATATATATATATATATATATATATATATAATTTTATTAATATTCAGATACCTGCAATTCAGCAATAACATCTACCCATAATAGGTATTTTTTGAATAATAATGACAATTAGGTCATTTGCTATTTTTAAAAGTATATCTTTTTCTCACCCTTGTAACACTTACTTTCCATTTGGGTTTTGGTTAGTTTTGTCACAATCAATTATTAATAAGTTTTCATGATAAACGCTGCTCCTACCAGTTGGTTCAAAAATATATCCATTTTCGCCATCCTACTTTATTAAGCATATTTTTATAAAAGTTATTCAATTTTACTTTCAACATTACTTAATCAATTTTATGTGACGTGAGCGTGACGATGACGAGAGTCAGTGCTTTTACCCATCCCAAGAGTGCCTAACTTGCCTAGAGAACTTTTCACTTCAAAAATGATCGAGCGTCATTTTAAAATGGCAAGTTTTAATTGTATAAGAATGTCGTTAGATCGGTTTTATGTGTCAGAAGGATATGTCAGGTCGTAGATGTAGTAGCGCTTGAAGAATCTGGCTTTGACAACATCATTTGTCAAACTTCGGGAGCAAAGATGACATCAGAAATCAGAAATTTTTTATTTGCTTTAAACATGGTAGTGCAAAGATGTTAAAATAATGGTACGTCTTCATGTTTGACTTATAATTGTCATGCAAATTTAAGAATAGTTACATTTTAGTCTACTTAGAGCTAAAAATAAGTTAATAGACCAAACAGAAAACTAATGGTAAACATGAGTCACAGACAGAACATTACATGTCATCATTTATAAATTGTATAATATTTTATGTCAAATTATTCAAGTCATAAAATGAAGTAAACACAGAAAAGCTAAAAATACAGTTAAAATTTAAAAACCTCTTGGTCATTTAAGTATTCCTGGACTGAATAAAAGAAACATCTTTCCTTTCCAATTCCAATCTTCAATAATTTTCTTTACTCATCCTCATCCATCGACACATCAGTGGGTGTACTTGGAGGGAGGTTATGTGGAGAGCCCTATAGTGGCGCTAAAATGTGTTCTCCACGATGACTGTGGTAAAATGCAATAGTGTGCGACTACAATAGTGTGCTATTATATTATAATATAAGTGATATTATCACTCTTTATGATCGCTCGCCCACACGTGATGGCTTTTTACTATTAATCTCTTTGTATATATATAGTAAACGTAATATGCCTATTGATTTGACTAAAAACCTTGTTGAATTTTCAGAATGTCTCAGCGAAATGTAAGCTATTGTCGAGAGTCAGCGTAGAATCCGTGTTTATGTTGCTTGACTTCATGTGCATCCCGGTAAGCCATCCGCGAAAACATATGTATGTTTATAAGTAAATATTGGCGTTTTAACTGTAAGCATATAGTGTTACATTGGCAAGGTACGTATCAATAATATAAGCTATGCAGACGACATGGTCTTGATAAGTCTAAATGATCTATTGGTACATTGAAAAGACTGATCAGGATATGTGAGTCTAACGCCGAGACCCAAGGGCTTAAGTACTACATACGAAAAGTGAATTAATGGTTTTTAAAACAGGCAGTATGTGCTGTGCTACTTACTACCAAATGTTAAATTTTGTTGTAGTAATCTGATTAGAGTCGAAAAATTTAAGAATTTGAGCGACTGGGTTTACGAGTATAGCAGGACCGCAGGTTGTTGCCTGTCCGATGTAATATGTTGGCACGCAAGTTTAAAGTGAAGCGGTCGTGTAAGAATATGTATGGTAAAACAATTGTTATATTTACTGAATGCTATTGTAAGTCTTTGTCTTTATAAATGCGGAAACTAGGCAAACGGGCTGTAGGTTTCACTGAACATTATTATTGATTGCTTAATTTGATTGTTAGTCACACGAGAGATCGAATCCTAAGTGGGGTCAAGCATCAGTTTATGGATTTTTCTAACAAAAATGTGCAGTAGCCGACTGGAGTCTGTTTCGGAGCGGTGTTTCACACACATTCCTCGGAATGCTGTAAAACTGTTGGACTTGCGTTGAATAGCTGAACTTGAAGGAATAGAGAGCTCTGCTGTACTTGCGCATTCACTGGGTAACTATAATCCTGTACTGCACAGATGACTCGTTTCCGTTGTGACAAGCCGCCGTGATCGAAATTGGGTCTCGTGACGTTATTATTATTACTTCTGACCGAAAAAAGTTCAATGTAAAAGTATCACCTTGTGGGCTGAAATCTTCACCCATGTCTTCATTGGAGGCGCAGCTCAGCTCCGCGACAATAAGCAGCGCGGCGCACGCTGCCGGCAGCCATCGTCGTAGCATCATCCAGCTGGCGCCCATCCCCTGTTCGGTATTAAAGTTTTATTGTCATTAATAACCTTACCATGTTATTATGAACCTTACTGAAGTATATTTATTTATTTTATACCTTTCTTTTTGGTACGGTCTACGAATCGAAAAGGACGAACAACTTACGGGCACTACCTTCAATATGAGTATCTGGAGCTTTATTATTGGCATTAGCGTTACCGCAAGCCGCGGTTGCTGAATAATCAAGCGTTCGATAAATTAATAAAAAGGAAAACCACGAGGAAATCCTTAATGAATATTTCAGGGACATTTGAACTTTACCAAGCCACACCGAAGCAAATGCGCAGGTTGCAGCTCTTGTTTTGCCTCAACAACATCGGCTTTGTCTTCGCCGTGAAATGATTTTACTCTGTACACTGTTAGTTCACTACAAAGACATCGAACCGTTTTTATTTAGTTTTAGTTAAATATTATGTGATATAATAACGTTTTACGAAGTCTTCTAAAAGATGAAAGTTGGTTGATTGGCTTATCTCAATGTAATTAGATAAAAAAATAACATGCGTCTTCAGTCACAGTTAACAACCTCAAGAAAAGCTCTAATTACAAGGTACTGAACAAAATCCGTTTATCACAGTTATAAGTTAGTTGCGCGATATGATGATATCTTATTGTTGTACAATACAGTATAAATACTCAACCGGATTGTGCCGGTCCGGTATTATGCAGGCAGAATTTCACAGCGGCGCCGGAAATCAAATCCTTGTTCACAAAAAGGAAAATATTACATTTATTCGACTACGGGTGACACTGGCACTGCGTTGCACTCGCACCTCACCACACCAATGACTACATTGATTAATGTTTCTGTGTCGATTTAAAGAACTTATCACAGTGGTCTTGAACTTTGTCATTCATTATTTTGTAAGAACACAGCGCTATCATCGCTTTCCATTTACTTGAGAGATTTAAACTAACATTGAACGTAATGATATATTTTCATTCATTTGTCACTAGTCTTATGTCATAACGGATATCTTAAAATGTACCATTAATTTAGATTATTAATATAGTACGCTTATATTTAATATATTAATATGGTGGAATCACGTTAAAACGATCAACGTCGGGCCCAATAGCAGTGCAATCAGTGCGTCTACACTTGTGCTCGAGGTGTCGTGCATTCGACTTGAAAAACCGGTCAATTTTATCACATCATGTTCTGATGTTGGCTATATTGGAACGCCAGGAACATAACATCAATATGAATGTTAAAGAATAACAATTTATATAATCACTCACAAGTGCGACAGATTGCAAGGCCTCTGTTCGTCGTATTAAAGTATTATCAGTAAACAAGGAAATTTTATTATTTTAACAATCCATAATACCAAAAGATGAAGTCATGGGTAAAACTTAATAATTATTATTAGCTCTCAACTCTATCACACGGAGCGGGCGAACTCTGGAACCCAGTTTGTTATCCTCCATAGTGCGATGCGTCTTGATTGAATATACGAGTAATTTAACTTATGGCTATTATTTAAATTATATTCAGTCAATTTTTTACAATAGTCAGAATGTGTAAATTAAACAGAAAGTTATCTTTGAGAAGAAAGGTCTACGGATGCTTAGAATATAACGGGGGAGGGGTAAAGATGATTTTATGAAGTAGAAAAATTTTCTTTAACTGCCAAATGTCATTCTCAAAGCATGTGACGCAGCTAGCGTGCATTAAGCATCGCCTACGAATGGGAAATTCGGTAATTAAAAGCAAAATATAAAAAAGCTGCATAAAAATCAGAAATGTCAGACATAGCTTCAGAGGGAGCTTTAATAATTAGGACTACTGACTGAGGCTAAATTTGTGTAAAACATAAATTGTTGATTCTCTAGTCTGTACGCGTTTGTGATTGTTTCAGCGTCACTAAAATTGCTTAGGCTGGTGGGCCTTTGTTTTATGTGATGGGTCACTATAAAACATAAAAAAATGTAGCCGGAAAATGTACAGTCGAATAAAATGTATTTATTCGTTATTTTTTGTCGTTATTAGATAGATCTGTGGTGCAGTGGCTTAGCAAAGGAACAAGTGTTTGTATGATCTACAAATAGTTGCTCCGAATCTAGATTTTTGTTCTTGTATAATGTATGTTTGTAAACTGCCCTCACAAAACGGAAGAGAATCTTAAATATATAATCAAAAATATACGGTTTCTCTCGTAGGCGAATCAATTAGCAAAAGTGTAAAGTTATTGTACTCTGAAACCTTAAATTTTTCGTGAACATAATTTTAATATTAAGAAGGATAATTTTGATTAAAATTCACTTGACAAAAATTCAAAATAAAAGTGAATATTTTTTTTAATGTTAGTAGTTTTTTAAATGTTAGTAGTTTTATAGGTTAATAGGGCCAAAACCGGACCTTGGTTTAAAAATATGTGTAGAAGTCATATTGTAACTGCATACAGATTACGATCTGGATAATTTTTAACAAAATATTTTTCGTATTCCATGCGTAAATTCGTTCTGCGCTCCACTAGATGTCTTGTACCTTTGACTCTGCTTCATGTCGCTGATTTTGGTACCTAATATCCGGTTGAAAATAATATAATCTATGCAAATAAATACAATTGAAGTACCCTCTTGTAATGTTTTTATGTGGTGGTGCCACGCTGCAGCTATATGATAGTAGTAGCACGAATGGGTCGGCTCGACTGGGCCAGGACCACGCTCTTACAAAATACCAGCGTAAAATAGCAGCGTATTGCTGCTGTGTTTCGTATGATGAGTGTAGAGAACCGGAGACCCTTTTTGCTGGAATCGAGGTATTTCATCTTAGTTTTCAGGGGTTAGATGTCTATGAGCCACATCATTCACTTACCATCGGGTGGACTGTGTGTTCGTTTGTCATCCAAAGCTATGAAAAAATTCAAAATAACAGCTTATTACCTACTAAATGCATACGAATGTAAACAGAGTATTTCTGAAACGCTCCCGAAAACGAAAACATACGATATATTAGGGAAACCTTTGATGATGTGACGAAAATAAAACCGATCTTGGTAAAAAAACAAACAGATTTTTTACAACGTTTAATTAGCTATATTCACGCTCCATCGTGTTAGTACAGCTAAATGAAATGATAATTTCATAAAAGAAATCTTAAAAATACTTACATAAAACCAGCAGTGGAACTTCAAATACCTAACATCAGCTCATAGGGGTCAATGTACTCACGACGCCGAATACGCACGGCTCAAGAGTAATTTATCTACTCATGCGCGCGGCCCGCAGCCCGCGGTCGTACTAATACCTAATAATTTACAACATTTGTCTTAATACCTAACTTATTTACTTAACCTACTACTTTGCCACTGTGCTAGTCTCCACAAAACCACTTTAATTCGTATTCAGAGGTTAAGTAAACCAAACTCTCTACGTTCGACTCCCCGCTTATGAAAAATTTACTTTAATTATTTGGTAGGTATGTTTATTATTCCTATGTATTCAGTTGTTTAGGTACCTATTAGGATCAGATCAGTACAAAGTTATTTAAAAAATTAGTTATGAAACAGCTTACAGATCTAAATCCTAACCTGCCCATACATTAACCAACCATCGGGTTTCGTGCTCGGTTTACGCTTTTACACCTTATGAACTCTCCAGTATGACACACTTGTTCCATCCCGACGCCTTAACAATTTAGTGATACGTTATAGAATTGTAAATTGTAAATTCGTAATATACGCGAAGCATTCTCGGGAACTTCTCCATAACTCATTAACATGTTGCCGTACTCACGAGCGCTATAAATGTGTATAATTATTAAAACAAAACAAGACAACAACAGAGCAGAGCCGTGGTAGCTCAGATGGTTAACGCTCGCTGTAAACGCGACAGAACGCGAGTAACCCGGGTTCGATCCCCGCCGGCACCAATGAAATTGTTAATTGCAATTTTAAGTGCGGATTTATCACGTGCTCGGCGGTGAAGGAAAACATCGTGAGTAAACCTGCATGTCTGAGGAATAAGAAAAAAATATTTCGAAGACATGTGAAGTTCGCCAACATGCATTAGGGTAGCGCGGCGGACACTTCCTTGCCCTAAAACTCTCTCAGAAATGAGGGGAGGCCTGTGCCCAGCAGTGGGACGTATATAGGCTGTTACTTTAAAACAAAACAAGAAACAAAAAACGTAACACAAGTAATGACAAGTAATAACAGCAAAAATTTAATAAACAAAACGTTTGAACGGTCGTATCGCTCACGCGCACGTGGCAACGCCACACAACATGTTGCAGCGAGGCGGCAGTGCGCGTGTAAAGGAAGGGAGAGTGAGCGTGAATACAGTAATTTATCTATTGCATTATTTCGCACCGAGCTAGATAGAAAGAGTTCAGCGTCCGCGCGTTTTTTGACCCCATAATCAGCTGATTTCAGGTTTAACTTTCACTGCTGGTTCATGTTTGAGTATTTTTATAATTTTTTTACGAAATTATCGTTTGATTTAGCTGTACAAATGCGATAGAGCGTGAATAAAGCTAATTAAACGCTGTAAAAAATGTGTTTTTTTTCACCGGGATCGATTTTATTTTCGTTACATCATCAAAGCACGGTCCTGAGCCATCTGCATCCATCGACTTTCACAGCACGTATCTATCTCATCGGGTCGTCGCGTCCGTATCATAGGAAAAACGGAGCGCGTACACGTATAGAGATATATTATATACCCAGACGGACTCTTTAGTTAGCAAAACGAGTTGTGATAACATACTTAGGGCACAAATGTGTGCCTCTCCCGAGCGAGCGTAAGGTATTTATATCGGGCACAAATTCGTTCCTTTGACTACGTAACAATATAGTCAATGAACGAACACGCTCGTTGTGTGGAAGAAAACATTAGTTGTGACATAATATAAGTTAATAATATTATGAGCGTCTGTTAATGTTATTGTTGCGCGCCACGGTTGATGGAACTAGCGCCATCTGGTATTAAGTATCAGAAATAGGACGATCATGTAGGACCTTCAC